ATCCAAAGAACCTGGTTTTGGTTCTTTCTCGTCTGTGCAGGTTAAAATGATTCTGCAGCTTCCCTGTGTTAATGGTGAATGACCCCACCCCGTTCTCAGAGTCCAGGTGGGGCCTGTTTGAAATAGCTAATTTAAAACTAGCTAAACCTTTCTATCTTTAGAGCCTGTTTTGCATGTAGATTTCAGATTGTGACAGCTGTCCTAGTTTTTTTGGTAACAATCGTCAGACTTAGCTCAAATCCCTAGATGGTTTTGAATTTTTGGCCTATGTTTTCATGCTCGTTTTCTTACCCCATGTGAAGAAAAGTAGAACTTAAATCTCTCCCTCCTGCCTTTTATTTTCTGCTGCATTTTTCTCAATATGAATTTGAAAATGCTTTGAAACTTGTCAGCCACCATGCAGACATGGGTGTCAGAGGATACCCTGCTGTGTCGGTCAGGTGCCCTTCCTGAATGCTTTTGCACAGTTGTTTGCAGTGACTTTGGACAAGTCTAGGACCCGCCCCGAGACCCTAACCTGCCTGTGTCTCCAGTATGCCTACTTTAGGATGGGGGTGAAGCACGCGGACGTGGTGAAGACTGACTTCTTGCAGTACTCCATCACCAAGATCAGGCAGAGACATACGTTCCTGGAACGCCTGGGACGGTACCAGACCCCAGACAAGAAGGGGCAGACGCAGATTCCCAACCCTCTTGTCAAGGACATTCTCAGGGTTTCAGAAGCGGAGTTTCTGGCAAGGACAGCCCATTCTTCTGCTGAGGAGTTTGAGGTTTTTAAGAAGCTCCTGGCTCGGGAGGAGGAAGAGGAGTCTGAGAGCCACATGTCTGGCGACGAAAGCACCAGTGAGGAGGAGGCCGAGGAGGGCGAGGACCAGGAGGAGGAGCTGTGATGAAGGCCCAGAGACAATTAAGGACATTTGATTCTCTCAAAGCTTTCGGGAGCTTCACTTGGATCTGCTCAGGTGATTTTTCATTCCAAAACTGGTCTTTTGATGAAATTTATTATAGGTCACCTGAGAAGTAGGTCAGACTAAGGAGGAGGTGTGCTAGTTGGATTTGCTGTCAGGTCTCGGGGAGAGCCCTGCTCCATTGGAAATAAAGACTCACTCCTGGCTGTTAGAATTGGGAGCTCAGTGCATCGGAATTTGGTTTATTTTCTCTGTCATAGGTGTGGGTGATGTTCCATGACAGTGTGGGGGATGAGGGTCTTTCTGGTTCCAGTCATTTTACATTTCCTTCTAGCGATAAAGATACAATTATGAGAAGGCAGGGGGATTTCAGTACATCATAGCACTTTATTTCCACAAAAATACTCATGTTTTTAATCCAAAAATATTATTCATAGTTGCATTTAGTGTACAGCAGAGTAGGGGAAGTGGGTCAGTGATGTTTGGCTTCCTCCTGCCAGCACAGCACTGGGCACTTCTCTGTGAGGAGTGCGCCCTGGCCCCAAGCTCAGGGAACTTGGCTTTCGTGCCCGCTAATGGCCGGCAGGTCACTTGGGGCCTGACATCTCTAGCTGCCAGCGGTGCTGACCTGGGGTGAGCCAGAACAGAAGGAGCTGTGGAGCGTCCTTTTACAGGGGGCTTCTGAGGCCAGGGGAGAAGAGCACCTGGCTGGGCCAGGTGGGACTGGGTGGGGCCAAGGGTCTGGTGGTGTCATTCCAGGGAGCGCTCCATGACACCAACGGGGAAGAAGTCCCCTCAAGAACCCAGTGGGTCCAAGCAGTGATTTGAAGGGTTGGAGTCAGAGGCCCAGCCCTGATGGCATGAGCTCTGATGGGGGAGAGTGGGTTGTCCTAGGAAGTTCTGGGCACCCCTTTCTTGGGCTGATGCTGCAGAGGGCAATTCTGGTGATGTGACCAGAGTTCAGGCTGGCAGCACCTAGAACTGTGAGGCTCCCAGCTCCTTCCTGCAGACCATATGAGAATACTGTCAGGTCTTGTTCTCACCTGGGGCCATCCTGACCCAGGGAACATCTGGAGACATTTTTGGTTGTTAGGACCAGGAGAAAGAGCAGTTGGGGCCCAGTGGATTGAGGCCAGGGCTGCTGTCAAATGCCCTGTGTTGCACAGGACTGTTCATACAGAGTGACCAGCCCAAGTGTCATGGGCCGAAGTGAAGACATGGCTCTAATGTGACCGTCTGCTCATGAGAACCCCAGGTTTGAAATGGTTTATGTTTGTTATTTCTTTTGTTTAAAAGGATAGTAAATTGCTGATTTTTAGAGTTTCTTTCCCCACACTGGAATGCAGTTGGCAGACTTGAGCTCTGTTTTCTGGGGGGTTTCAGCGCTGACTCAAAACAGTCATGCTTTTGCTTTCTCCCAGCTCCAGTGGATTGCAGAGAAAGGGATACTGCGTGCAGAACAAGCAGCTTAGGGAACTCCACACAGGTGGGCCAGACATCCGTAGCCCTGGTTGGCCAGCAGGAAGCAGGCAGTCTAGCCAAGGGAAGGTGCTGGGGGTCGGTAACATGGAGTCGCCTTTGCCTGCTGGGCTCCCTGGTGGCAGAGCGGCTTCATTTCCTCTGACAGCCGCTTGCAGGGGGGGAAGGGGACATTTTTGTCTTAACTGCCTTTCTGGCCACAGACAAAATTATTGAAAAGGAAGACATTTCACTATGTCCCAGTGTTTTCATTTACTCTCCATTTTGTGGTGTCCACGTGGCCGGCATGTTCCCTGGAGCCTACAGTGTGGTTCTTGTGTTCAGTCGGGACAGAGGAAACCTAAATCCCAAATCTATGCTTGATTGCATGGTCAGGCCACCCAGCCGTGAGCAGGTGGCTAGCTCTGCAACTCAAGGTTGCTCCCGTCATTTTGACAGAAAATAAACGTTTATGCCCTGATAGTTTCCTGATCCATTATTACTGATTTCCTTGGATGGACGTTGAGTATTTTCAAGGAAGAGTTTTACGAAGGAGCCATGTGGAAGCTCGTTTGGAATGTTTTAAGGCTTTATAATTCCCTTTAGAATCAGGAAGTCTTCTTACTAGATACTTAATTTGTACAGCATCAGAATGGGTTTATCGTAAGGCCACACAGCACAACCTCTGGATTCAGTAGACTTTCTCGTAGAAACAGATGCTTCTGAGCTGAAACCTGGAGCACGTTCACGTCTGCCTCGTGGCCGAGGGGCTCGAGGTCATTAACGTGACCGTAGAAAGTTTCATCTGCTTTTCCAGTGATGCCACTTGCTCTTGTCACTTGCTGGTGGTTCCGTAGCTTACTGGGTGCATAGTGACAGTCGGCACGCGTCTGTGGTTGTGGTTCTCATTCCACCCTGGGTTGGAGCCCTTCCATGGAGTGCAGCCATGCCCTCGGTGGCCCTGAGATGGACGTTCTGGAGTGTAGTAGAGACATTGTGAAGTGACTTAACCTTTCTGAAAATGACAAGTCATCTAATACACAGACATATGCACATGACTTTGATAAAAGTAGGAAGTACAAAATATACTCTTTAACTCTCTAAAAATGTTTTATAAAGATGAGAGGAAGGTCTCTTCCTGCGGCTGCAGGCCTGACTCAGGTTGGCTGCTGAAGTGCCCAGCAGGTAGAAGTGGGCTGGCTGGTCACAACCTCACTTGCAGGGAGGAGAGCTATTCAGAAGGTGTGGTGATGATGCCATCTGCTGGAGCGCTGTTGGGTGTGGAGATGGTGTGTGCTGCCTGGTGGCCTGAAACAGTGTTGCCTGAGTCATGGACTAAAAGGATCTTAAACATCCTCTGGCCTCGCCCGCCCCGGATGTACATCTTCATTACTGAGACCTGTACGGAGGAGCCCGGCTGCTGCCAGGCTCATCTCCAAGTGGGGCTTGCGTGAGGCTTCCATGACGCTCCGGAGGGTCTTTGGTGCTGTGGTGTGACTTATCCGGGGTGGCTTTCTCTGCATCAGGCCGGAGCCTCGGTGGGGTTAGCCTGTGTGGCCCAGGGGATGTGGCCCGTTTTTGTAAATCAGGTTTTATTGGAAATAGCCTCACCAGGTCAGGTACACCCATGGCTGTGTGCGCTTGAGGGCAGGGCTGGGCCATTGCCATGGAGACCATTTGGCTCACAAAGCCAAAGATACCTCCTGCCTCACCCTTCACGGAAGAAGTGGTACTGAAAGGGTCTAAACTCCGTCACTGTGAACGCTGTCTCTCAAAACCTGGTCGGGTGATGGATCATGAGCCCTCACCTCCCTCAGCAAATGATGTGCTGGGAGGTGAGCCTGCTTCCCTGTGCCCTGTCAGTCTCTTCCCCACCTCCCGGCCCCACCCTCCACGCCTGGCAGCTCCTTCTCAGTTTGGCTGTTGGGTCTCAAAGGGAGAATTCTTTCTCTGATTTATAACCTGGAACTGGTTTCTGGATGTTGCTGAGGCTCTGCTAAGGCCTTGCTCATCCAGGGCTCCCCCTACTCGGTTGCTGCTCCTCAGAGGCACAGGTTGCCACGGAGGAAACGGGGTCTGGGTTCCAGCTCGGTGGGACTTGGTGTCCGTCCCGAGGACCTCCCTGACCGGGCCCGCCAGGCCTTCTGCCTTCTAGAAGCTGGAGGAGGGAAGCCACAGAAGGGACAGATTCCAGCCAGGACCCTGTCGCTCAGGGTGTCCTTGTCAGTCCAAATTAGACTTCATCTTCCTGGGCTTTAGAAACGCGTGAGGTTGGTGGAGTGTAGCAAGAACGGCCAGAGTCCTTTGAAGAAAGAACAAAATGGGCATCAGGAGATGGTACCCTTTCCTCTTTGAGACGGCAGCTGCTTGTTTCTCTTAGTGTCTGGACTCGCTGCCCCAGGCCGTCCGTCTGCCGCATCAAAACTGTGAGGCCTGTGCGCTCTCCTGTGGCAGCACACAGGGTGGGACAGGTCTGACTGTGTCCTGAGGGGGAGGGACCTTTGGGCAGCATCACAGGCTGCCCCCCCTCAGCAATGCCCTGGACCTTTCGTTGCTGGCATGCTGCCCATTGCTCTGGGTGGAAATGCGTTTTTTTTGTGGTGGTCTTGGGGTGGCTGGCTGTGTGTTTCTGTGCCCTGCCTGTCGGTGTTTCCTTTGTGTCAGGAATTTAGTGTTTTAGAAGCCAGTTCTCGATGATTAGGGGAGGGTTTCTGATTTGTTTTATAGAAATGGGCTTGAGCAACTTTTTAAAAAATTTTTCATTCTTTCAGGTGACTGGCTGCATTATAAGTATTTAAACCCAATCCATGTTTGTGGGTTCTTGATCCCAGTGCTGATTGCTTGCAGGGCTCGTAGCGTGCTTTGGATGCGCGTGTCTTTGGAGCGTGAGGTGGGGGTGATTCCTTGAGTGGCCTCACATCTGAAGGGATGGCTCTCCGAGGCCATGGTTCTCTTGGTGCTTCCTGCCTGCGGTTGCTGCCTGGTCACCACCAGCTGCAAGGCCCTTCTGCTGCTGGCTGTTGGTGGTCTCTGATAACATCCCTCAGCCGTGTCACAACCATGGCCTGTGTGAAGCTGTGTGTACCCAGGCGCCTCCCTCTCCTGCCGCACAGGGGATGGACTGTTAGGCTCACTGGTGGAATGAGAGCAGAGCTGCCGAGGCTGCCTGGCGACATCAGTGGGAAGCTCGGTGTCTTCCAAGTGACTGTGAAGACCTGGGCCACTTATGTGTGGGCCGGTGGGCCCAGACGGGGCTGAGTTCCCAAGGGGCTTGGGAAATGCTGGGTGAAACTGAGTCAGGAAGCTGCTTTCATCTCAGGGTTTCTGGGTGCTTAGGACTCTCCCAGCGACAGAGCCTTTGGGACCTCCCAAAAGTTGTGACCAAGGCCCCACACCCCGTGTTTTCCTTCAGTAGATGGCTCTTCACGGGGTCTAGAAAGCACCCCCTTAAGTCCCTAGCATCCCCGTGTCACCCACCCTGCTTCTTGGTTCCCTTGAGACAGAGCGGTTCCCCCGCCGAGGGCAGAGGCCTTGTCACCCTGCAGACTGCCCACCGCAGGTCTGCCTGCTGGGCGGCCTGTGCGCTCTTTCCTCCCCCGGCTCCCCCAGGGAGTCTGACGCCTGGTCGGGGCTTTCCTAACAGAGCTCCGCCGGCCCGGGAACGTGCCTAGTACCTACCCTACGCTGTCTTCAGTGTTGGACTGTTATTTTGTTTCCTGAAAGAAACAGAGAAGGTGGCTTATGAAAGGAAACTGGGCCTGTGACCCTGTGGCTCCCTCCACCCAGCCGCCTGCTGCCACCCCCTTTCCTAAGCTTACACACATCCCAGCGTGGGGACGCCACCAGTGCGCCCAATGCCGAAGGTAGCGCTTCGGTCTCTGTGCCGCCCGCCCCCCTGGACTGACGCGGAAACGCTGGCTGGTGGTTCATGTGGCATGAAGGTGGTGTGTGGGCGGACAGAGCTACTGGGGGAGACACGGACGCTCTCGCACCAGCAGCAGCCTTGGTGAACTGTCACCCGGCTTTTCCTGGACACAGACCCAGTGTGTGGTGACTGGGGGGCCTGAAGACTGTGCCTGGGGCTCAGACTCGGCTCTTCTGAAAGCATGTTTGTACTCAGTACTTTTACAGTAATTCTCGCGGCTGCCTTGAGCCCTTTAGGGAAAGAACCTGGGCGTCGGGATAGAAAGTAAACTGAGACTTGCTGTATGTGCAGTTACGTCCTTGGGCCTGTCCTAACACTCACGCTTCCCAGCTTGAGACCAGATGCTGATGCACATGCATGACCAGAGTCGGGCCTCATACCCACCCTGTGACCCCCCGGCCCCACCTCTGACCTCCTGCACCCCCACCATGCCCAGCTGCTCCCGCCTGAGTGTGTGCGCGTGCACATCTGGGCAAGCATACCGCCTTGCTCAGCCCCAGGTCTGTGGCCACCCTTGCCCGTGGCCCTGTGAGCCGCAGCAGGACAAGCCCGGCCTCTTCCCAAGACGCACCTGCTTGGGGCTTTCTTGATGTTTGTGCTCTCACAGCTCTCTTTGAAGCAGATGTCCTGGTGCACCTTGTAGACTCGTTTGTACCTGTCACAGGAAAGCTCTGTCAAGCCAGGGACTGGAGCAAAATGGTGCCCAGCAGCTTCACCCGGGCTGCATGGTGCCAGGTAGCCGTGCAGGTGAAAGGCCATTGTTTTCTTAATAGGGATGTACTGCAACTTTTAAAATTAACTTTACCAAGGCATAATTTACGTGAAATAAGACACACCCATTTTAAGTGTACATTTTGAGAAGTGCTGACAAAGTCACATGACACTGAGAGAAAAAGAGCCGGCCAGTTGGCCCTGGGGCCTTGAGATGCTACAGCCACTTCTGTCGACGGGCAGGCCACGAAGTGCGAGAACCTCGGAGACGCAGGTGTTGATGTGGGTGGCGTGGAGCAAGAGAGCTGACTTCACACCCTGCCTCCTGCCTGCTAACTTGTCCACTGTGAGCCCGTCTTGACACCTAAGCCTGTTTTGTGTGAAACGGGAATTATTCATACTACCTCTCCCAGGTTTGTGGATGGTAATGAACAGGAGTGTTTGGGTTCTTTTTAAAATTCCGACATCACAGCTGTTCAGAGAGAGAGAGACCCAGGGAGTTTGATGGGTACAGCTCCAGCTCACGCGCTCAGCCTGGGAGAGCCAGCTGGACGTAAGGCCTCTGGGAAGACTTCTGGGCATCGGGGAGTAACAGCTGAACTACCTCCCAGTGTAGCAACCGGAGAACTGGACAGAATGTAAGAAGTAACTTTTTCCAGAAACCAAACAGAGCAAGACTGTGATCCCCGAGAGAAGGGAAACGGAGGAGATGAGCCCCTGGTTGCCCTGGAATTCATTCTGGAGGCACTTTTTGAACTGCATTTCGGGTGGGGGATCCGAGCAGTGGCCACACCGAGGTGAGGAGACAGATTGGAGTTGGGAAGGCAGAGGTGGCTGGACTTTGTGGGGCAGAGCACCGGAGAGGGGGAGACATGCAGAGAAGAGCCCCAGAGATCTGGAGAGGGGCCCCCTTGAAAGGTAAGCTGTGTGTTCACAGGGTGAAACCCCATGAGGCTGCGCAAGAACAACTACCGAGGAGGTGAAAGTTCTGAGAGCCAGAGTGGAGAGATCTGATTAGTAAGAGGCCACTCCATAGGAAGAGAAACCCCGGAAAGGCCAGGCCCTAGACATGGGGCAGAATTAATCCCAGAACAAAGGTGCCTCAAAAGGATCAAACCCTAATAACTGTCTTGCAGGAAAAAAACCAACATTCTTGAAAATAATAAAAAAAAATTAAAAATCCAGCACGCAGTGACATCTACAACATCCAGCATCCAGCAAAAATTACAAGACATTCAAAAAATTATGCAAAGAATCTAGAAACTCATAAACAGACAAAAAAATAACAATAGAAAAACACTGAGACATGAGAGCAATGACAGAAACAGCAGAAAGAACCTTAAAACTACTGTGAATTTGTTCCGCGTGGTCAGTGATCTAAAGGAAAACGTAAACAGAGGGATGGAGGTTCTCAGGCTACGTGGAGCTTCCAGAACGGAAATTTTGCCAACGGGATTAGTGGTAAGTTAGACACTGCAGGAGAACAGGTCCGTGGGATTGATGGAGGAGGGAAGGAAGGAAGGAGTCCCAGTGGCCTGTGGGACAGCGTCAGCCGAGCATGTGCCTGAGCGGATCCCAGAAGGAGGGAAGTGGAGGGACAGGAAACGAGCTTTAAAGAAATAACGGCCAAAATTTCCCCAGTGTGACGAAAGCTAAAAGCCCAGAGAGTAAACGCACAGACACACCGAGCGTGTCAGAGGTAGTTTCCCAGAACCAGCAATGAAGAGAGAAACAGCCGTGGGGGTGGGAACACACTTCGCAGTCCCTGAAACCGGGCAAGCAAAGGACAAAAGGCCGACCCACCTCCTCTCCTGAAAGGAGACACTGTCAACCAAGAGCTCTCTGTTTAGTAACCACAGCCTTCAGAAGTGGAGGTGACGTGAAAGCTTTTCCAGACCGGTGGCGAGAGCTCACCACCCGCAGGCCTGCGCTGTAGGGGTGAGTGCCCGAGATGGCGGGCGCGCAGGGGAATACAAAGACTTTACTCTCAACGTTTTGAAAGACACTGTTGAGAGGAAAACAACCTTGTGCAGCTCAGAGCACGTGTGGAGGCACAAGTCTGACGGCGGTAGTCAGACGGCGGGCATGGAGCTCGCTGTCGCGGGCGCCTTCCCTTTAGGAAAGGGACCTGTGATGAGCATACTGCCAACCCAAGATCCACTAAGAAATCAAACCAAATAAGTATCACCAGTGAGCCAGCAGGAGAGGTAAAGCAGAACCTTCAGAAACTAGGGAAGCGGGCAGGACAGAGAAGGCAACAGGGCGGACGGGACAGACAGGCGACGTGGTGCACTCAGTCCAGCCACATACATGGTCATTAAATGTGGTCTGGGCCCTGCAGTGAAAACCAGGGCTGTGAGGCTGGATGTAAAGCAGCCCCCACCGAGGATGGCGGAGAGCTTCTGGCAGGCGGGGGCTCGCCTAGTCAGGCCCGGAGCTGCTGGCTGCTATTGCCCGGAACCCAAGACCAGAGGGCCCATCAATGCAGAGCCCCAGGTCCCAGTGCAGTTTGGAACCTCCTGTCACACACCCGTGCTCCCTGTGGGTGGCGGTCTCCCTCTGGACTCGGGCCTGTCCTGTTCACCGCGGGCCTGTCCTGTTCACCGCGTGTGCCGAGGTTAGAGCTGGGCCCGGCTCGCAGACGTGCTCGGACGTATTTGCTGACTGATCACATTGTGAGGGGCTGAGTCACAGCGTTAGCAAGAAAGGTCCTCAGAGGTGAGCAAGGCGAACTCTCCTCCAGAGCCCGTTTCAGACGGGGACACTGAGGCACGAGTGATCTGCCCAGGGCCACATCCTCACTTAGTGGCAGGACCAAGACTCCAGCCCTCACGGCTGCTGTTTAGTTTTCTGGGGGCTCTGTGGCAGAGAGGACCCTGCCATCCAGGGAGGGGCCCTGATGCTGCCCAAGGGGTCGGGAGCCAGGGGGTTGGGGTTCCAAGCCTCCCGTGCCTCTGCTCCCAGCTGCACACTCAGACACATTCAGCCTTTCTGCCTCAGTTTCCTAATGTCACACGGCAGGGACATCATAAGCCCCTTTGGGTGAGCTGGACTGTGGAAGCCCTTCGGGAGGTCAGGGGTGGGAAGTTGAAACTTACACGTGGTGACAGACGCCTCCTTCCCAGACCGGCAGGGACTTGGTCTCTGAGAATAGGCGTGTGCAGGGCTGGGGCAGCTTCTTACAGGCTGCAGAGCACAGGAGAGCCCGTGGCTCAGGAGGAGCTCAGGCCAGGGCTGCCGTCTCCCACACCCTTGGGGGGCCGCACCCAGGCTTGGAGCCCGCAGGCAGCTTCCCCTCAGGGCTCACTGTCCACCCACCTTGGCCTCAGCCCAAGTCTTCTGAGGGAGGCCTGGGGCCCTTTTCTTTCCCACCACGTTTGGCCCCTTCACCCCTCCCCCCACTGTGGGTGGCTGTCCCCAGGCCCCTCTCATCCAGGCAGCACCTGTCAGCCACGTGCTAGGCGGTGACTCCCTGCCTGGGCACCTCATGGTTTCAGGTCCCTGTGGCACACCCGCCCTGGGCCCCACAGTCTCGTCACAGCCTGCTGTACAGGTGTCTTGAGGCCAGGCCTGGGTGGCCCCGACTCACCGAGCTCACAGCGCCTGCCTTTGAACCCCGGGCTGCAGTCACAGCTGTGGGTGTCCGCGCCTGGCATGCAGGTGCCTCCATTCTGACAGGGGTTTTCTGTGCAGTTCCCAGGGGTGTCTGCAAACAGGCCAGGAGCAGTTAGTCCCCAGGACCCCAGAGGAAGGCCTGCTGGCATTGCCACGCTGCTGCCTCCTGCTTCCCCAACTCCTTCCGCTGTGCCCTGGGGGTGGGCCTGTTTTGGGGCCAGAGATGCCCGGCTCTGACCCATTACCTGAGGTCTAGGGTTCAAACAGCGGTCCTGCTGGGACCCTCCATGCTGAGCCCTCCGTGGCAGAGGAGCCTCCAGTCACCACTTAGATTAAGGTCGGGCACTGGTGGCCTCAGGAGAGACTCCCAGCTCTGCCCTGGCCCCCCCCCCCCTTCTCTCCAGATGGAGGACCCTGCTGGGGACAGTCTCAGCCCTGGGTAGCCTGGTTCAGCAGGGGCGCTGCTGGCCCTGCTTGCAGGCTTGGGTCTGGGTCAGCCAGGCGGTGCTCCAACTGGGCCACACTCAGTGTGGCCCCTCCCCAAATCCTGCCCTCTGCTCAGTGCTCCTCTTGGGCGTGTGTGTGTGCCAGATTTGGGGGTGGGGACAGGAGGGGGGGTTGTACATTTCAGGCAGATCTGGGTAGTTGGCCTGTAAAAGGAGGGGGTGCCAGTGCCGCCTTTCTTGTGTGGGGCGTCTGGCTTTCCCGGGGGAGCCTCAATCCTGTTCCCACTCCAGGGGCTCAGCCCTGATGTCCATGCCTGCTGACTTACTTCCGACATCCTTGTCACCGTCACGTTCAGGGTGCTGCAGGGCCAGGCTGACCTGCTTGGGGGCGTCCTCCAGCTGCACCAGAGCCGTGGGTTCTAGGAGAAACCAGGACAAGCAGTGCTGACCACACTGCCTGCGGCCTTACGCCCAGGACTGTCCCCGGCTGCCTTCCTGAGCTGCCTCTCTCTCAGGGTGTGGGGCGGTCCCGTGTGGCAGGAGCAGGATGCCTGCTCACTGCTGGCTCCCCAACTTGGGCACAGACCCCGTGGGCTCCACCACTGTCTCCAGTAGGACCCGCTTTTCTCCAGGGGGGGGCCTACCCCTCACCTCCTGCTGACCCTCTGCAGGGACCCGGCTTCCACCCCTACCCTGGCCAAAGCTTCTTGGTGAAGGTCACCAGTGGCCCAAGGCAGGGCCGAGCCTCTTGCCAACAACTTGTACCCTCAGCCCACATGGCTGCATCAGGAAGGCTCCTCTGACCGGGACAGAGTGAGCAATTCCTGCTGACCTGAGGCCAGGGCCATGGCACCATCCAGACCCACATCAGGCACTGGGTGTCATCTTTGAGCTCAGGGTTAGGGGCCTCGTCCCTCCTGTACTGGGGGCTGGTTGAATGGCAGAGAGGCCACTAGGGTTGGCCTACTACTCACGTGACCTCACGGTGACCGATTTGCCTGGTGAGCCGCCAAACTTGGCACTCACTCGTCCTCTGCCGTCCATGAGCTCCGAAAACCTGCTGGGAGAGTCACTGGGGTTACCCTGTGGAGCTCTAAGCCTGAGGCCATGCCCGGTGACCCTGAGGGGGCTGACAGCAGGGGTGTGTACCTGGGGGCCTGGGTGGGCATTTCAGGAGCCCCACGATCATTGAGTAGACGCAGCTCTGGCAGGCGCCCGGGGACTGGTCTGTTTCTGAGCACCCGTGGGTGGAGCCCTTCCCGGTGCCAGCGTCTGTCGGTGCCGTCCCTTGGGGCTGCAGGCAGCAGGTGACAGGGTGGGGGGCACATAAGGCAGGTCTGGGGCTTCCTTTTGCCCCCGTCCTGCCCCGCTGCTCAGAGAGAACTTCTGAAGGGCCCTGACTGTCCTGGGGGTTGAATGGCTGCTTTGGTTCCTGAGAAGCCCTGAGCCCCGCTTCCCACCTGAGGAGCCGCTGCAGCTTTCCTGCTGGGACGCGGACACTGCCCGCCTGGCTGTGTGGAGGGGGCTGGTTCTAGCCCCCACCCTGGGCCCAGGTTCTTGACCCAGCTGGACTCCCCTGGACCCCACACTTGCCCTGAGAGTGACGGTGTAGCTTTCCTGTGAGTCCTTGTCACCTGTCCATGTGCTCCAGCCCCTGTCCTTCCCCTGTAAACCCCTCGCCCCCTGGCCGGCACATGGAGGGGCCCCAGCTGCCTGGTGCCCGGCCGGTGCACCCGGAGCTGAGCTGGGTCTGACTCTGAGCAGGCTGCGTGCTGACGCGCCCTCTTCCACAGCACCCCCTGAGCTCTAAGGTGCGCGTGGCCGTGCTGAACCGGGTGGCACCCGGGGGCCTCCCTGCGCTTGGTGGCAGGCCCATGTTCTTAGTGTGGCCCGTAGGGGCCTCCGTGCTCCCGAGCTGTTTCCCGTGTCCATCCACTCTGGCTTCCATTCCTCCCTCTCCCCGGCCACCGTGCCTATGGCTGTCCTGGCCTTTCTTTCTCCTGCTCCTGTCCAGCGGCCCCTCAGGGGTTGGCCTGGCTGCAAGTCCCCTCCCTGGGCCCCTGCTTTGCTGGGGTCCTCCCGCTGCTTGCTCTTGGCGCCTGTTTTCGGGTGATGCTCTCTATTTACTGCTCAGCCCGTCTGGGGTCCACAGAGGTGAAAAGCAAAATGCTGCTTGTCCAAACTGAACCGTGCTGACCAAGCACCCACTGTCCACGAACCCTTCCTCCCACCGCTTTTCACATGAACTCTCCCCGTCAGCACAGCCCTGTTTCTATGCTGTCTGCCTGATGTCCCTCGGACAGAGTGGCTGCACCGGGTGAGGGTCCAGGGGTGCAGGGCGCCTGCCTAGCCCCACTGCCCGCCCCCCCGCAGCCCTGCACGCACAGGTGATGATGTACAGGTGCGCGGGCTCCCCGTGCAGCTGGTCGCCCTCCGTGCCCTGCACGGCTGTCACCGAGAGCTGGTACCGCCGCCCGGGCAACAAGTCCCGCACAGTGTAGGACACCAGCCTCCCGTTGGGGATGTAGCGGCTCTTGGTGCTCTGGCTGGTGGTCACGTTGATGACATACGCCTCCAGCGAGGTGCCTGGGGCGGGCGCATCCCAGACCACGTGGGCAGAGGTGGCCGTGACTCGGGTGGCAGTCAGGTTTGCTGGCGGCAGAGGCCCTGGGAGAGGCACAGAGCGGGGGAGGAAGGTAAAGGGGGCTGATGGGGTCTTGTGCCCAGGACACAGTTTAAAGACCTGACATGGATTGCAGAAGCCACATTGGAAGCCAGATGTAGTTACTGTAGATGATGCCATGGTCCTGAAGGGGGATGGGGTGGGGGGGTCTGCAGCACCCTCCTCCTGCCCTGAGAGCCACCCCCACTAAGCCTGGTCACCGTCAGTGTCCCCTCCTATGTGGCACTTCCGACCCCCCTGAGCGTGGCCACACACCCCTTGCCCTGGAACGTAGATAAGGGGAGTGGGTCCCACCTGGCCAGGCCCTGCTCACACCTGCTCCCACCAAGCCACCTGTCCCCCCTCCACCTTGTTCACAGGTTCACTGCTGACAGCAGGTGCTCGGTGCTTGCTCTGCCCACCCGCTGGGGGAGGGAGGGGCCGTGAGGACCCATCTGCTCCCCAAGAGACCCCGTGGAGCTCAGCGGAGCTGACAGCATGGGCTCCCTGCCCGATGCTCCTCTGGCCCTGTGCTCAGGACTCTGTGGAGAGGACCAGTGGGCGGGAGGGGGTTCTAGCTTCCAGAAGGCCCTGTCCGCCGTGAGCGGCCACGCCAGGTACTCACGTGTCCACACGTGCAGAGGAGCTGAGGCCAGGCTCTCGGTCAGACGCTCCTGTGCGCCGAGCCCACTGAGGGCGGTCACCCGGACCGTGTACCTCCTCCCAGGAAGCAGGGCCCTGCGGGGAGAGGACAGGACGGCCTCGGGCTGTGTCCGGCTCTGCTGCCAGACTGCGGCTCCTCCGGGGTGCTGCCCACCTGCCTGAGCCGGGTCAGAACTACCACGGGTTCCACGTGGACCTGACCCCAGGGGCCTGGAGTCTGAGATGTAGTGTGGCCACTACAGTGGTTATTTCTATCAGCTATTTTGAATGGTCATTTGAATTTTACTCACTTTGCAGTTTTGTTGTTAGTTTGTGATAATTGGGCTTAAGGAGTTTACACGCCTGGTTTAAGGTTTGAACATGTCATTTGTCCGTTTTTCCCTCATAGGGGCCGGCGTGACTGGCTCGACTCCGGGGGCCAGTGTGTCTCACTCCTTGTGCAGGAGACAGAGCCCCCCGAGGTTTAGGGTGTCCCTGCTCTTGGGGCCCTTCGACCCTGTGAGGAGGCAGGGGCAGGAGTGAGCTGGGCTGCGAGCGGCTGTGCCTGTGCGGACCACCAGGTACCGGGTGGACACAGGAGGCACACACCCCCCAACAGGCGGGTGGGGCCAGCAGGCAACCCCAGGGGAGCTGGGAAGAGGGAGGGAGGCCGGCCGCACTCCTACCCGAACGTGAACGTGTCCACGTTCTTGTCAACATCGGTGGACTGGTCCTCTTGGGCTTCAGGGTGGCGGATGGACACACGGACACCAGTGACGGTGCCGTGACGTATCCTGTGTAGAGCCCACCGCACGGAGATGGCACTGGCCGTCACGTTGGTGACCTCAAGGCCCTCGACAGGGCGGGGTCCTGGGAGACAAAGGGTTGCTCAGCCTGTCAGCACCCCCTCACCCCTGGGAAGGCAGGGGTCTTGAAACAGCAGATGCAGCTCAGGAAGGGTGCTGGGGGGTCGTGAAGAGGCGTCTGAGTAAGGCAGCGGCCAGCCCGGGTTGCTGACTGCATCCCTTAGCCACAGGAGGGCCTCGGTCAGGTGGACACGCCCAGGCTCCTGCCTTGGAGGGGCTGCTAAGGGCCAGCCAGCTCTGCTAGAGGGCGGGGGGAGCGGGGTCCCGCCTCTGCTGATCCTGGCCCCCCCTTGTCTTTTCTCTGGCTGTTTTGGTCGTACTGATGTGACTGTCTGGGTGGTGCTGGGGCCTGTTGGCAATAGAAGCCAGGAGAGTCCTGTGAGACCCGGAGAAGGGGCCAGGTGCTGCAGCGCCCCAGCCCAGTGGGCAGTGGTCCCTCCTCCCCCCAGTGTCCTGGTAGAGACCCCATTCTGATGGGAAGGGGAGGCCATCTTCCTCCCAGATGCCTTTCCTGGGCAGACGCCTCTCCAGGAGTCTCGACAGGGCTTCTTCCTAAAGCCAGGCTCAAGGTGGTCCCTCTCCTACCTCGGACCCCCAGGGCTCCCAAGCTGCCAGACACTGACCCGCTGGCCTGGGGCGTCCTCGCAGCCTCTGCTGTCCTCCCCACAGCACGCCTGTCCTCACTCCCTGTCCGTCCCTCACTTGGCCCTCAGTGTCCTCACGTCAGCGCCTGGCAAGGGCTGGCACAGGGCCCCGGGGTGCCTTCTTCCTCCTTCCCTGGGACCTTGCCTCCCAGCACCTGGGGTGGTGGGAGCTCAGCACTGCCCAGGGCCACCCCACCCCCAGTCCACTTCTTCCCTCCAGCCCCCAGCACCCCTTCCCAGGCTGCACCCCCAGTGCTCTCCACCATCCCTAGGGGCCCCCGCCCACCTGTCTGTCCCACTGCCCTTTCCCCACAACAGTCTTCCCTGCTGCCCACATTGGTCGCTGCCCCTCCTAGTTGCTGCCCCCTCTATAGCCACATCGGGGTGGCCGCCTGACACCTGGCCTGCCCCCCAGCTACCCACACTTGGGCTGGTTCCCCTGGGCACCCCCATACTCCTCCAGCACCCACCCTTGCACTCCTCCCCCAGCCTCGCTCCCTAGTCCTGCCCGTCTCATCTGTCAGCCTGTCTCTGCCTGGCCTGGGTCTGGGGCGGACAGCGCTGGTGAACTCACGCGTGCGGGTGAGCAGCGCCACGGGCCTGCTGATGTCGTTCCTGTTGTTGGCGTGGCGCTTGACCGAGAAGACGGAAATGTTGTAGGCTCTGCCAGCCGCCAGGGCCCGGAGCTGGTGGGTGGAGCGGCTCTGGTCCACGAAGTCCGTGCGGCGGAAGGAGCCGTCAGAGGACGCGTAGGTGACTGCGTACCCGTCCAGCATCTGCCTGGCGGCCTGGCCCTCGGGTGGGCGCCAGGAGATGGTGACCCCGCTCTCCTCCACTCGGTCCACCTTGAGGGCCGTTGGTGGGAAGAGCTCTTCAGAGTTTCGGTCAAAAACAAGGGAACGGGGTGGTCAGCTGTCGGCCGTGGAAGCCCCGGACCCCAAGCAGTGCCCAGCCTGGTGGCTCTAGGGCCTGGCTACCCTGGGACGGATGTGGGCACTGCTGGCGAGGAGGCCACTCCTGGTACCCGGAGGGGACGCCTTTTCATTTTGGTCTCTGGCCATTGCTCCCGGGATGGGTTTGTGCACGCGGGTGACCGCACTTAAGCTCCTGAAGGGTCCCATGCACGCACGTGACCGCATTTATGCCACCTGCTTCCCAGGTAGATCCTGGGTGAGCAGCTGTTCAGACGCTCTGCCTGGGCGGTGGGGAGCCGCGGCCCGAGGCCTGCTCTTTGGGGTGTCTACTGAGGGAGGAGACTGAGGCCTCACCACCTCACGCTGGTGCCCTCATGCCTCACCTTTGGCGCAGTCCTTGCCCGTGTAGCCCACTTTGCAGGTACAACTGTGGGACCCGTTGCTGGCCAGGCAGTAGCCACGGCCCCCGCAGGGGCTGGAGAAGCAGGGATCACTCACTGGGGGAGGGAGGAAAGCAGCATTGAGCTGTGGGGCGTCACCAGGCCTGGGCCTTGCTCCTGGGGGACTTGATAGTTCCTGTGTGGGTGGAGGTGGGTGGCACCATCAGGCAGCTTTTGGGAGATGGGCGTGGGAGAGGGAACATTCTAGAATGGGGGTGCAGGGCTCGCCAGAGGCCAGGTAGGTGGCCTTCTGACTGAGCCAGGTCATCCAGCCACCAAGGTGCCCTGGTAGGCAGTGGCTTATTGTGGGTGAGTGCAGCGCTGGCCCCTCCATGGCCTCCCTCTGCCCTGTGGACTGGAGCTCCGCAGCCAGGGCAGGGCCCACAGGTTCCCAGCACGGCCCCAGGAAACACTTGCAAACAAGCAGCAAGCCCCTGGTCACTGTCACTGTCACTGTCACTGTCACTGTCACTGTCACAGCCACTACCCTGCCCTGGCCTCCGCCTGCCCCGGCCTCCGCCTGCCCCAGGTCTGTTCCCCAACAGTCCCCACTGTGCTTGTCCCCAGGCAGGCTCCTGTGCCTGCAGCCCTGTCACAGGACTTGTCCCTGGAAACCCGTCCACTCTGCACAGCTGAGTGCTGCCAGCCAGACCCAGTGCGGGCTGGGGACATGCCCACAAGGCAGGTCAGCCCCCCTAGGACACACCTGTTCTAGGAGGATGGTGTGACCAGCAAGTGGAGGAAGTGCAGGTGAGACAACCCAGAGGGCAGGACGAGCTGGGGCACCACCGTCGGGGGCCATGGAGGGCCTCATCTGGGAGGAGCATGTCCCATGGGGAGACCATTCCAGATTTAGGAATCGGGGTTCCTGGGCCCTGGGCTGCAATGAGCTTGGCCATCCAGGGACAGCAGGGGAGGTGGGGGAGCGTGGAAGTCTCCCAAGGAGCATCGGGGCCGTGCCCGCACCTGTCTCACAGTGGTAGCCGAAGAAGCCCTCTGGGCAGACGCACAGGTAGGCCCCGCCACCGTTCTCACACCGGCCTCCATGCTGGCAGGGGCTGGAGTCGCAGGCGTCCACCTCTGGAGAACACCCAGAGAGTGGGCCCGAGCGGCAGGGGGGTGTCTGGGGGAGGGAGGAGAGGACAGCGGGAAGAAGGGAAGGGGCGGCAAGGAGAGCGGTCGGGCAGGGCCGTGTGGGCAAGCCGTGGGGTGGAAGTCTCTCATCCTTGGTGGGTGCCCGGCTCTCCCCTCACTCCTCACCCCTGGGGTCCTGCCCCCCAGGGAATCTATCCAGAGCCATGGGGACTGCCCCCTCCCCTCTGCGCTCTGAGGGGCCCAGGGTCTACTTTCAGAAAACAGGTTTGCCCAGGGTGTCTGGGCATCACAAGTGTGGGTGAGGGCCTGGGCGCATGGGGGACCCACCCAAGCACAGCCCCTACCTGTCTCGCAGCGGACTCCAGTGAAGCCTTCGGGGCACTGGCACGCGAAGGCCCCTGGGAGGTCCCTGCAGGAGCCTCCGTTTCTGCAGGGCTGCACCTGGCACTCGTCCGTCTCTGCAGAGAAAGGACATGGGGCTCATGGCCCTACCCGGGCCCCATCCGGGCCTCCACGGGCTTATAGGACCCTCAAGGTTCTGTATTCGGCCTGAGGCTTCTGCCTCACACCTGCCCCCTCCACTGTCTGCCCCATAAAGCCCCCACCCCTGCTGCTCCTGCAGTTCACTGCCCAGGCTCGATGTCTTAGGCCTGGCCCTTCCTGGGGCAGGGCCACTGTCTCAGGGCTCAGAGCCCCACACAGGCGTGAGGGGTGCAGGGCTAGTCCAGCAGTGCACATGGCAGGCCCCCTCCCTCTGCCAGCTTGGAGCACTGGCCAGGCATCAGGACTGACCCGCCCTCTCTGAACCCCATCTGTCTGCTCCTGAGGCCAGAGTCTGCAGGAGCAGGAGGAGCCGGTTGGTCAGCCGAGCTCCTCATCTCAGCCAAACTCCTAATCTCCCCGGGTAGGTGGAGGCAGAGCTGGCTGGGGCTTGAATGTGTCGGCAGTGCCCAGACAGACGCCAGCCGGGTGAGGAGCGGCTGGGGCAGGCCACGGCCAGGCTGCCGGAGCTGCTGCCCCGTGGTGAGGGCTAGGCTGCCTTACCCAGCTCACAGTGGGCTCCTTCGTGCCCGGGGCTGCAGATGCACAGGTACCCGGCGACTCGATCCTGGCAGGAGCCCCCGTGCAGGCACGGCTGGGATTGGCACTCATCAATTTCTGGGAGAGAGGAGTGCCCAGCGCATGGGCACCAGGAGAGACCCGAGAATAAAGCAACATTGCCGTCGTTAGAGGCAGTGGCTTGATGCGAAATTAAGATGCACATAAGTGAGCTTTGTTCTGAGGAGCCCGGCAGAACTCTGCGTCCCCTTGGTGCTTAGAGGTGGCAGCATCCAGGGAGGGCACCCTTGGAGGGGAAGGTTCCCACTCATGCAGACCGGGGACTGGGTGCTGGGCTGTGTTCACAAATAATGAATGGCCTTGAGGGTTCTCAGAAGATGCTGTGGGACTCAATTCCAGGGCTCTGGGTGGACGGCCCCAGTCTTGCCAATTCAATTAATAACAATCATGTACAAAACCAGTATTTTAAAATATTTACCCAGAAAAAGTATTTGCCCAGGCGTTTCTTAAACTGGGAGTTGTGCTCCTGAATTCGAATGTTTAATTTAGAAAAGTTTAATTTGAATGCTTTGTAAGTAAATAAGTGGTAATGACAATGACTCCGGGGGCTGCGCCCAGCCTGGGCGCTAGAATGCTGACGGGCTTATCGGGTCAGTGCATGTCCCACCCCGTGTGACACGAATTTCTGTGGGTATCATCTCTGTGCCTCGTTAAATTTAAATTTTTACGACTTGCCTAAACAATACTGTCTATGGCTTTGCTTTTGCTAAATACTTATGAACTTTATCGACAGGGTACAGTGGTGTAAGTACTGTTCTCTGCCCACACTTCGTTAATAAGACCTCCCCATGTTGCTGTGGGTCTCCGTGGGCCCCTCCTTTTCACTGCTGTCTGATATTCCACGGTGGGCTTGTACTGTACTTTACCCATCCTTGTTTGGTGCTCACTTGGGTTGGTTCTAGACTCTTTGCAATTGCAAAAAATAATATAAGTGTTTCTGTCTGTCTTCTTTCCCATCTCCTGGTGTGGACGAGCACCCTTAGCTGTGCACCGAGAGGTGGAGTTGCTGGGACACAGCTTAGATGAACGGTCAGCTCCACGGGCAAACCACCAGGTGGTTTTCAAAGTGCTAAACAGTTCACACTTCCTCCAGCAATTTCTCAGGAATCTGTGGACCCACATCCTCGCCAGCACGAGGGCCTCTCCGACTCCAGAAGTTTGGCCAGCTGCACGCATCTGGGCGTGTCTCCGATGGGTGCATTACGCGTGTCTCACTGGTTCACAGAGTTCTTCGTGGGTCTGGAAACCAGTGTGTAGCTCACATCTCGCTCCCTTTAAGGCCGATGAATTTAATTCCTAACTTTTATAGTCAGTTTGTCCATGTCCCCCTTTAATAGTTAGTACTTTTTTCCCTGGCTTACAGCATCTTTTCTTACCCCAAGGCCAAAAAAATATTTACCTGTATTTTCCACACAAAAATAGATAGTTAAAGAAACATTGGAATCCTTCCTCCATCTGGAACTAATTGTTGCGTAGGGGAGAGGTGGGGACCGATGTACTATTTCCCCAAGCGCGTGAACATTTTATTCCAGCTCTTGTGAGGCTTTTCATGCTTTCTGAAGTGCATCCTTTCAGCCTCAGTGAATTTCACACACAAGAATTTATCATGCTTTTGACACCACTGTGCATAATTTTGTTTCATTTCACTTCCCAAGTGTTCACTGCGAGGATATGGAAATAGGACTGGCCCTGTATGTTGACTCCGTCTCCTGTGGCCTAGTTGAATTCACTCATTAGCTCTGCAGCTCCTTGTGTAGACTCTCCTTAGCGTTTTCTGTGTTCCGGGTGGTGTCATCGCCACTCCTTCCTTTCCAGCGGACACGCCCTTATTTCCTCCTGTCCGCGCCCGTCTGGAGTCTCCAGGCCTACGCCGGAGGAGTTGCTGAGATGGCACCTTTGAGCCTGGTTTCTCATGGGTGCCCTTTATCAGGTTGAAGAAATCCTTTTCTGTTCTTAGTTTATTAAGCTTTTAATGATAGTTGAATTTTTTCTGCATCTATTGAGGTGATCCTGTGGTTTTCTCCGTCTCCTCCTGTGGTGAGTTACGTTGGTTGATTTTCAGAGGTGAAACCAGCCTGTGCTCTTGAGATAAATCCCAGTTGGTTATGATGTGTTATCTTCCTTATGTAGTGCTGGGTTTGATGTAGTGATATTTTGTTAGGATTTCTGTATGTATGTCATGAGGAATGTTCTCTGTAATTTCATTTTGTGTAATATCTCTGGTTTGGGTATCACAGAAATAATGGTCTCATAAAACGAGTAGAGAAATGCTCCTTCCTCCTGTGTTTTCTAAGAGAGCTAGTACAGGGTGTTATTACTTTCTAGATGCTTGGTAGGACTCACCAGTGTTCTGAAAATCTAGTCCTGCCTTTTTTTTTGAAGGCAGTTTTTTATTACAAATCAAATTTAATAAATATAAGGATATTCATATTTTCTGTTTCTTCTCCTGTCAGTTCTGGTCATTTGTGCATCGGTCCTGCTGCTTCCAGCCAGTGCACTGTCCGTGTGTCTTCCTGCGTCACACGCTCGCCCCCTCCCCCGGGCAGGACGTGCCACCTGCGCTCGCTGTGGTTTGGAGGTGGTTGTGCTTCTCAGGGGTCTTGGCTGAGGGCTCACATTCCCCAGGGCACTGGCTCCTCCTCCGACAGCACCGAGGGGTGTCTCCCAGGCAGCACCCCCCAGCTGAGGGCCGGGAAGGACGGGAGTGAACGGAAGATGTGTGAGGCCCGGTCCCGCCGCCTGTCTTCCAGGGCTCTTCACCTGAACAGGTGCACAGGCTGGGCTTTGCAGGGCATTTGGGGGATAAGAATGTGTTGTGTGCCCCATGCATCTCTGGATGCCCTCAGTGTCCCTACGATCTTTTGTCTTTGTTTCGTGAAACGTGCAAACATCACACAGATTTTCTGATGAACAACTGGAATGTAATCTGTGCCCAGCTGTGTTAGCAGCCCTGCCTCCAGGCCATGTGGGAGCCTGGGCGATGCCCCTAGAGCAGCATCCCTCAACACCCGGGGGGCCTCCGGGCCTGGTCAGTGTGGAGTCTGATCCCACAGCTCTGGGAGGGGCCCGGAGCAGGTGTGGCCTGAACCTGACCTCCCTCTTTAGGACTCTGCTCTTGGGCTCCCTCCCTCCTGGCCACAGCCGCCTCCCCTGCAGAGTCTGGGCTGCTCTGAGGATGGGGAGCCCTTAGTGAGTGTTCAGGAGTGGAGCTGGCACCGGCTGTCCCCACCCTCAAGGGGGTTATGGCCTCAAGTCACAGGAAGAACAAAGGGAGGAGGGGCAGAGCCAGGGTCAGAACACCGGCTCTGCCTGCCCGCCGGGCCCCACCCCAGAGGGCCCGCACATCACCGTGGCACTGGGGAGGCTCGCTCCAGACGCCCTGCAGCTCGCAGACCCGGACTGGGCTGGGGGCACTCAGGCTGTAGCCCTGGTCACAGGAGTACAGGGCCACCGCGCCCAGCCGCGTGCTGTTGAAGCGTAGCGTGGCGTGCTTCACCTCCTCGGGGGGGCCGCAGTCCACCTCTGCAAGCACACAGCAGCCCCTTCTGCACTGTAGGGCACCTGCCCGGCCCCACAACTGCCCACCAGGCCACAGAGCCCGGGGACCCCGCTTCCCACACAGCCCGTCCCACAGTGAAGGTGCCTCGACCTCCAGGAAGGCTGCGCTCAGGTGCGGAGTGCCCACCACCTCTGCCCCTCCCTCGGTCCCCGGACGTCCTCCTCTGTCCTCTCCTATCCCCTGCCCACTGTCCTCTGCTCTTCCAGGATTAGGAAGAACTCCTGTGCCCCCACCCAGCCCCCCAGGCCTCTCACCCGCCTGGCACCGGCGTCCTGTGTACCCTGCTCGGCAGCGGCAGGAGAAATCTGTGCCCAGGTCTTCGCAGGTACCCCCATTCACACAGGGGCTCCGGAAGCAGGGGGAGGGGGCTGCAAGGTCACAGGGGACACTGTCAGCCATCACTTCTTCCCCACTGGCCTCTGGGCTGCACAGGGACGTCCCCTCCTGTGCCACTCTGCCTCCTGCACCTCTACCCCCACTGTGCCAGCTGTGCCGGGCCTGTTTTCTGTCTCCAGCGGGCCTGCGCCCACCTTACCTATCTCACAGTGCCGCCCGGAGAAGCCTGGGGGACAGTCACACTTGTATTTGCCGATGTAGTGGAAGCAGGTGCCGCCATTGTGACAGGGGCCCGAGGCGCAGGAGTCTGGCTTCCCTGGGAACAGAGGGCACTGTTGGGGTCAGATGTTGAGTGCCCACCACCTCTGCCCCTCCCTCGGTCCCCAGACATCCCAGAGCCCGGGGCCTTCACGGGGACGCTCCTGACAAGCAGGTGGGGTGGCGGGTCGGGGTCCTCGTGCCCAGCCCCACTCCTGGCCACTCCCAGCGAGCAGGGCCGCACCGATCTCACAGTGCCTCCCGGTGAAGCGGTAGGGGCAGCTGCACTGGTACTCGCCGCCAGCCTCCTTGCAGGTGCCCCCGTTCCGGCAGGGCCCCGAGCTGCACAGGCGTGGCCGGGCTGCGGGGGACAGGGACAGGGAGACGGGTGAACAAGGGCGCACGACACCCCCTGTGTCTCCTCAGTCCTGAGGCACCCGTGGGCCCTGCCCGCCCTGGCCTGGCGGCAGCAGGGGCCACACCAGTCCGGAGACCCCCACTCCTCCTCGGGGTCACTGCCCTTCCCACCGCTCCTCTGCCCAGGCCCTGCAACTCGCACAGGCGGGCAGGGCGCAGGCGGGGCGGCGATGGGCAGGGTGGCGATGGGCGCGGGCAGGGCGCAG